CTTAGCATAACAAAAAACCGCCATAATATACGGCAGCCGATCGCGGCAGACGTGTTCTATCTCAAACCGCCGCCAAAGTAAACACCGTTGTCAAACTTTTATGTGGTCGTTACGCAAAAAAACCGCTTTGTATCTTTCACTGCGACGTTTTAGTGTGTGCTAATATGTGTATGCGTGTAAATGTAAGTATTGAAGCAAAGTGCCGTATTTCGATGCAGTGCTGTAATTAAACAGAGTACCTAATAGCAATTGCCGTATATGGCAGCCATTACGATTTTTCAGCTATTTTGTTAAAATTGTAAGATAGGTTGTTCATTAGAGTAATCTTACGTTTAGATAGATAGATGTTTGTTTGTTAGAGTTTGTATCCTAAACAGCTGAACGGATCACGGTGAAATTATGCTTAGACGTAGAGGATACTTTGCAAGAACACATAGGCTAGTCACTGTTGTTTTTTTTAAATTCCGGGCGGACAGAGTCGCGGGCGAAAGCTAGTTATTTTATATAGATACTAGAACTACTCCGAATCCGTTAAGCCTTTTTTTTTGGATATATGAAGTAACCAACAGCTATCTAATCTTTCGTAATTATAGTATTTTTCTACTTAAGTTAAGGCCATCCTAATTGCTCTTTCAAAAGCACTTTTAATAATTTTTAAGCTCTTAAGTATGGCATGGAAACGACAGTTTTATGTAATTTGACCTTCGCTTTTAACAGCATATTTACGTCTTATCTAGTTGATAGTAAAATAGGATCTGTCATAAAATGGAATATAGCCAGTTGTAAAGTGTTAATGGCTGTCTAGGATAACTGTTAACTGAATTGATATCGATTTTTATTTATCCATAGTATGTAAAGGGAATATTATTTACAAGATAAATCAATGACAAAGAATTTTGTGATACAATTTTTTGCTTTTTTCCAGTTACTTCGTTTACGTCGGGACCAACGATATGTAGATCTAGGTATTAAGTTTGATGAAGACTTAAATAAACTAAACATGTATTGTTGTGAAAAAAAATCAATAGAAGTACTAGTTTTCTCGTAGTAAAATATCAACTAAACTCTAGTGGCCTTATGTTATGCCACTAAAAAGAGATAAAAGAGCATATTTTACGAATCGAATATCGTAGATTTGATGTTTTAACTACGGACGCGTGTGATATTCGACCAAATAAATTAGAGACCTAGTATACGCAGTATTTTTTATATCTTTCCACTGTGTGAATACATGTTTTGTAATAGCAGTGTTACGAGAAGTCGGATCTTTCACACCTCGGGCCTCGTCCGTTCCTGGAAACAATGGAATTTTAATATCATGGAAAGCGGCCGCGAGCAACGAAGTGTTATTTAAATGTGCTATATTTTATCTGCCAGTGTTATTTTTTTATTAGAATTACTTTACTTTACTTTTTTCACAACACTCGTTGATATGAGCATCTCTAGCTTAGGATCTAGGCTAGGTCTATGTGAAACGCCCTATAGGGTTGTTATTCATGGTAGTTTTGGGTAATACCCATTTTTGCCATAATCAAATTTTTGGGTTATATATTAAAAATCTTACTTATTTCAATTTTAACAATAGACCTCACAAGGATTTACAATTTAAAATTAAAAGTAAATTTCAATTTTCGACCTTATCACAAGTGTTTAAGAAACATGAAAGGTGTGTTTCAAATACGAATTTCAATTTCCTAAAGCACTGCTTACTTTTATATTCAGCAAAGTTTGGAGAGAATAACAAATACAGGGCAATTTACATGCCTGTAGCGAGGCGGGGCAGCGCGGGGCACAGCATGAATTATGGAGCAGTTCCCCACACCGAAACTTTACGATTGCTATGAAAAATTACACATTTAAAATTATAAAAGGTAAATCAATTTATAAATAATATGTAAATTAATTTTGTAATTTGTTCATTTAGTAAAATCAATTATTTTTCCGTAAACGTTTTTGTGTAATTACACCAATATCGGGAAATAAATTCAATGCAAATTAGTACTTAAATATTTAATTTACAGTTACTACAAGAAATAGTTTAAACACGCAAATACAAAAAATCAATATAATCACCTCTATGTCTATACTTCTATACTATTATAATAAAGCGTAAACACACACTTCTTTGTTACCTAAGATGTCAGCAATTACAGTATGTTTTGATTAATTCTTTTTTTAATAAAAAGCTACACTTACGTCACGCTTTACGCTATATATTTTCACGCCATTAAACTTAGGGGGTAAATGTTTTGGCTAAAAGCCTAATGTGAAAAAGAGACCATAAGTTGCTGCCAACATCAAGGAAGCAAGGTTGTCATCATGTCATGTCATTTTGACATTTGTAATTGATAATTTGACAAATGTAAACAATAAAATAAAATTTTCATAATTTCATGCGAACTAAGTCGCGGGCAACAGCTAGTATCAGATAAAATTAAAGTAACTTTTAGTCTTCAAAATAAATAAATTTTACTTTGATCACCAAGTATATCAATAGGTAAAAAGTTTAGTAACTAGTACAAAGCTTTGAATGGGAATGAACAATAAGATGTCTGTGGCCGTAGGGCATAATATGTACAGAGTCCCATTTGTATTAATACATTTGAGGGTGACCCTCTGACCTAGTTTGACCCTGGCAATGTACTGCCGAGGCCCTGGTTATATAATTTAAACAGCAACACCAATTTGATATAATTGTACGTCATTTGTTAAACTGAAACTAACCGAAGTTCCTTAACATTTAGCGCCTATACCACCACTGGCTGATAGAGGTTTAGATAGCTTAAAAATGACGTCGCTGATAAGGGAACAAAATCCAATGTTTTTATCATAATTTTTTTACACGTTGGGTTGTTATCAGACAGTTTACAATTTGGTGGGACAGGCCCTTACTCCCTAATTTTCTTTAATCTAAGGGAATTAAAAACATTTCTTCAATAGGTTCAGAAATTAATAACTAAAATCTATATAGATTAAAAGGATTCATATACGTGTCACGTGCACTCACACCGTGACCGTATAATTGGCTTTACGTTTACACCGGCCATAACACGTTAGGGGTGTGCCCCGCCCCGTGTTGACGAGGGTTGCAAAATAAGAGAACATCAAATTCAACGTTTAATAAAGCAATTTAATACATGCGCGATTTGTTAAAATTACCTCCTAATATATTGCCACTGTAATATGAGGGTCTATCACGAATAATTGTGAGAAATATCGATAACATTTCTATCAAATTTATAAAACAAATTTTGTCGTCGTGTTTTCGAAATTGTTCGTGATAAGCCCCCTGTAACCCTGTGTAGCATTTTAATTTCCTCGTAGGCATATCGTAGTACCGTAGCAATATTATAATTAATGTCATCAATACTTTTATCATAAAAGTTCAGAGTTTCTGTGTAAAAAGGCAACCGAAAAGCTTTTAAGCGAATTAACATCAGCAAAGTTAGTAACTTGGCCGAGATAGCCGCCAGATAGCCTGGACTGGCGCTAATGGATTAACTTGCTAATAGGGGTTAAGAGCTAACACTACTAACATTAAAATATAGTAAACTTTTGTATATCTCATAAAAAAGTTTACTTTTTAATATTCACTAGCTGTTCCCGTGCGACTTCATCCGCATTTATGAAAATTTTATTCTATTATTTACCTTTGTCATATTGTTAATTGCAAATGTCAAAATGACAAGACATGATGACAAACTATGGCAATCTTACTTCCTTGATGTTGTCAGTTTGTAGCTTATGGTCCCTTTCCCACATTAGGGTTTTTATCCAAATTATTTACCCCCTAAGTTTAATACTGTGATAATATAGAGCCATCTTACGCCACAAAGTAATATTTTACGCAGATATAGATTGGGATACAGCTGCTACTAAAGATAGTTAACCTATGGTATTAATGACTGGTTTCCCAGTTATGTTTAACTATTCCTTAGTGTTTTTGGTTCAAATATTCATGAATATTCAAACTACGTACCTTGTGTTTTATCCCGTTAAAACAGACTTCAACTTCAATTAGTATTAGCTAATGAATCGATAGATAATGTTAAAATAGGTAACTTCAGAAACCCAGCATTAAAGTAATAAATCTACTAAAGTTTTTGAAATAAAAATAATCTGTATCTAGCAATGTTACTTATTCTTCAAATTTAAAAATCAGAGAGTAATAGAAAAAACTGTTTTCCATTTTATTTTTTCCATCAAATCACACGTGCACCGCGCCTGAGTTTACAATAGCTTATTACCATAGAATAAATATGAATATAAATAAAATTCATGAATTAAATAAAAGTAATTTGTTGCAAGTAAAGTGGGGTCATAGGTCGAGGCACGAATTGCCTGAGATGTACAATTGAGGAGCCAAGGTTCGATAACATCTCGCGTTCATTGCCGACAAAGATTAAGTAAACGGTTGTGTTACCAGGCTTTATGGATTACATGGGATATTCCTATATGATTTACAATGCCTCAAAGTATAAGTCATAAAAATTATTTATGTGGTGCTTAGTACATATTAAACTCAGAGTTTATAATAGGACATTAGATTTCGCGTGTCTTCTTGTTCAGTCATGCAAACACTGTCAGACTCGCTGTCTTAATATAATTTGTGGATTAAAATTCCGGAGAAATGTAACTTTTAAAACTATAATTTACCTAATACATTCCTAAATTTTAGGAATTTCACATCAAAATAATGGTTACCATACTAACGAGGTCAGTGCGGTCAGGGCTCAGCACGCTCCTTGGCGACAGGCACGCGGCTAATCTTCAGATAATTGGGCCGGCCTTAAACATGGTTCCTTATCTTATTTTATAGATATAATGATTAGGGAAAAAGAAAAAAAGCTACATTTGACAAAAGAAATATGGTCACCTCTACCTAAATCACTACCGTAAATAAGATAATTATTTGTCTTGGATGAATAATAAATGTCCGGTTTAGAGAAATGTTCTATAGTACATTTAAATACAATAATTAATGTTTTGTTTTCTTCTAGGGTTTGAATATGGACAACTGCTGAACGGTGCGAGATCGAGGTGTGGCGCTAAACTCAACCTTACAGGATGACCAAAAAGTTCGAATTCAACTGGCAGATCCCCGTCCCGGAACCGCTGCTGCAAGTGAGCTATTATTACCATTGTCACATCTGTCAAATTGAAGTAGACAGTAACAGTAGGTTTCCACTGCTTAAAACCAGAATAAACGTGTTATAGATTTTTTTATAACTTGAGAGAGATGACAATTTTATTATGGCTTTGTCTGCAGTGGAAACGCAAGCTTACATTACAACCGCTTACCTTTTTACTGTGTGTACAGTCAGTGATAAAATGTGTTTATTTTGTACAAATTATTTTAAAATATCATACTAATCATACTTATATTATAAATGCGAAAGTTTAGATGGATGGATGTTTGGTAGACTTTGTAGCCTAAATGGCATAACGGATTTTAATGAAATTTGGTAGAGATGTGGAGGATAGTCTGAAAGAACACATAGGCTACTTACTTTCCGTTTTTTTTAAATTCCACGCTTACGGAGTCGCGATCGAAAACTAGTAACTTTAAAAAATGAGAAAAGATTTGTATTTTTGTATGTATTGAAATAACTCAAAAACTACTTTGCCGATTTGAACATTCTTTCACCGTTAGAAAGGTAATTTATCTGTGAGTAGCATAGGCTATATTTTTTATTATTTTTTTTTGTGTTGGACCAGGCCCACCCGCGGCTGTACTGCCTCTGTTGATGATAAGTCGCGAGCAAAAGCTAATGTTTAAAATTTTCTCTTGTATAATTAGCTCGCGGAGTACAAAGTGGGACACGGATTATGTGTCTCGCTATAATCTAACATATGTTAATTAGGGTTACCTCGCGCTTATTATATTAACTTGTAAACCGAAACTTTTTAAGAGTTAATAATGTTATTTACGTTTCAGACGTGTGAAATTAAAAAAAATAATAAAAAGCATAACCTTTTTAATAGTGAAAGATTTTTTTTAAATCCGCCCGTTAGTTTTTTATTTCACTACATACAAAAATACAAATCTTTTCTCTATATAACATTAGTATGGACTAGCTGTTGCTCGCGACTTCGCCCGCTTGAAATAACAAATGTAACCTATTACGTTCGCCCTTTTTTTCAACCTATTACCAAAAGTTTTAACTTAGTAGTAATCTACGTAATAACAGAAATCTACCAATGCAAGATGCAAGATTCCAAATTTCTAAGCCCGGTAGCTTGTAAGCTGATTTTTCGGTTACCCTGATTGTTTGTGTTCACGATATCTTCTAGACTATTGGTCCAATTTAAATACTGTAAAAGACAATTTTATTCTACATTAAATTCTCCTGATAACAAATGCATTTATTTGGATAAGGATTAATATTGAAACCAATAAAAGAACGCTGCAAATAGCGTAAGGTTTTTAATTCATTTTGCAAACAAAAAAGTGGTTATTATAAGAGAACCGTTAAAGATAGTTATATGCTACCGCGGACTTTTCTATAGAACTTTTTGACATCTACAATTCTTTCATACATCATTTTTATATAACTCTAACGGTTTAGGCTGCGTAAGCCGATAAAAGTTAATGTTTAGTCATTTTTTGACGCCGGCGTCCAGAAACACACTGTTTATTAATAGTTCCTAAACATTAGTAATAATCAAATATAGCCTATATTACTCACAGATAAATTACCTTTCTGATGGTGAAAGAATTTTTAAAATCGGTCCAGTGGTTTTTGAGTTATTTCAATACATACAAAAATACAAAGTTTTCCTCTTTATAACATTAGTATAGATATCTAATCTGGATTAAAACCTATATTGAAATATAATTCGAACGATTAAACTATTTCAATAGGTCAAATAAACGGCATATATTTTTTATCGTATTTAATGCGTATTTGTATCAATAACTAGCTGTTCCCGTGCGGCTTCATCCACATGTAATTATGAAAATTTTATTTGATTGTTTACATTTGTCAAATTATCAATAGCAAATGTCAAAATGACATGACACGAAAAACCTTAGCAATCTTGCCTCTTTGATGTTGGCAGCAACTTATGGTCTCTTTCCCACATTAGGGTTTTATATCCAAAATATTTACACCCTATGTTTAATGGCGTGAAAATATATAGCCTAAAGCATGA